TACTTCAAGGAGATTGTGAGATTGCATGGCATTCCAAGAACTATGGTGTATGATCGAGATTCAAACTTTCTTAGCCATTTTTGGAGAACTCTATGGAGGAAGCTGGGTACATCTTTGAATTTTAGTAGCTTTCATCATCCACAAATCGATGGGCAAACGTAGGTAACAAACAAAAGCTTGAGAAACTTAGAAGCTACGTTGGCAAGAACCTCGATCAATGAGATTCATTCTTTTATAAATTGAGTTTGCCTATAATCGTCAATGCATCATAGCATTGATAAGATTCCTTTTGAGGTTGTTTATGGTGCTAATCCTATTGATCCTTTGGACTTAGTTCCTCATTCAACAACTAAACAATTTAGTGAAGATGCTGATGAGAGAGCTAAACAGATAAAGAAGCTGTATGAGAGTATTAAGCAACTATTGAGAAGCAAAATGAGAGGTACATGTGAGCTGCCAACAAACACATAAAGCATGTGAAGTTTAATGAGTGTGATTTGGTCTGGATTCATCTGAGGAAGGAGAGATTTCCACCAGGCAAATTTGGGAAATTAAAACCAAAGGCTGATGTCCATTCAAAGTGCTTAAGAGACATGACAAGAATGCTTATGAGATCGAGCTACTTGGAGATTATGGAGTGTCCCCAACATTCAATGTTATTGATTTAAGTCCTTATCATGTTGATGGAACAAATGAAGACTTGAGGACACGTCTTTTTCAATTAGGGGAGATTAACACGGGAGCACCTAATTTGCTACAATCAGCTCGTGTAAATCTTGCTGATCCTATGGTATTCTCTACAACCTACAATGCTTGTCCCATAACCTTTAATTCAGACCTCATAAGTGTGATAGCTCATAAGCCAAATAAGTTGCAAGCCTATTTTCCAAAACTGCTGATGGCCCAACTTGATTGAATAGCCCAAATTGATTACTAAAGAGTTAAGGGGCATGCCTTTATAAGTTGAAAAAGCTCAGACTCTTAACTTTCCAACTGGTGGGTAGATTCAAAGGGAGAGTTGATTCAACTTTTCTTCATGACTAAGGAATGCATTAAAAAGGCTTAGTTATCAACTGCAAAGTAATAAATTTCGTAGTTCCTTATGCATGGAGAGTTATTTTATGCACTAGTATTTATTTTGGTTTTTTAGAGTTATAAACAGTTTAGAATCTGATTGTATTTGCAAAAACTCTTTGAGTTCTCTCTTTTAACTCTGTATCTCTTTGGTTTACCATAGAGTGGTGGGTTTCATCTCTATATCTCTTGGATATTTCCTTGAGTGGTGAGTCTTTTTTTAAGTTTTGTATCCTTGTTTAAGTATCTTTAGGGTGGTGAGTTTCTGTATCCCTTTATGATTTTAAATTTAGTGAATCCATTTCTCTCCTCTCCAAAAGTGTTTCCAACAAATACATCTATCAGCCTTTCAAATTTCATTCCTCATTATCTCGGTATCATTAGGAGTCATATAGTCTTCTATTCAAATTGGAGACATAAAGTAATTAAAAGATTAAAAAATTCAAAAGATAAATCTTATCGGCTAACATATATTTGCTTTTATTGTCGATTATAACTTTGATGACATTTTATTCATCAAATTCTTTCATAAACTTATCAAGCAACTCATATATCTTTTCTCTAAATTTTATAAAAGATGATGCATTTATTGACTTCACAAATATGATTCTTAAAGAAAATTAATTATACTCCTATGTCTCCTATCGATCCAAGTATTTGACAAAATAGAGTAACCATGCTCTACCGATGATTCTTTGTAATCCTTTAATAAGTCATTTAAATAGAGTAACAATACTTTCGAGCTACAAGGCCCGATTCTGAAGATACCAAAGTTTCTATAGCAACAATATATCTGAACGGAGATGCGAAACTTTTGCGGCGAACTCGTTGGGAGGAGATCCAACAAGGTCGGTGTCAGGTTGACACATGGGAAGACTTGAAGCGGGAGTTGAGAACTCAGTTCCTACTTGAGAACACAGAGTTCATCGCAAGAAGGAAGTTGAGACAACTCCGCCAGAGTTCCACCATTTGAGACTATGTGAAATAATTTTCTGCACTACTGCTAGACATATAGGATATGTCCGAGAAGGACAAGTTGTTCAGCTTCCTCGATGGTTTGAAGCCATGGGCTCAACAGGAACTAAATCGAAGGAATGTCACCAATGTGGTTGGGGCAATTGCTGCTGCAGAAAGACTCATCGACTTTGTTTCCTCTGAAGATCCAGGGAGAAGGAAACAATCTTCAGGCAATCGCCCTCCAAAACATTCTCAAGGGAAGGAGCTCAGGGGCGAACAAAAGAAGAAGAGTTCCCACAAAGGGCCAAGCCCGAAAGGCAAGGCCTCGAAACCTGACGGATGCTTCTTGTGTGGAAGGCCACACATGGAGGCGAGGCCCGAGCGCCTCGCTAATCTCCCGGTGGCGCGCTTCAAACAGGCGCCGCCTGGGCGCTCGCCCGAGCCCAAGTGCTGGGCACTTCGGGCGAGCGCTTGGGTTAACCAAGGCGACCGAACCAGGATTTTAGGTCTGGTTCTGTAACATCCCATTAGTCCCACATCGGAAGTGGGCAATGTGTATGATTGGCTTATATGGGCCTGATGAGTGTACTACGTTAACTCCCGCTTAAGCATTTTGTTCCGTGGTTGAAGGACCAAAATGGAGTTATTGGCCAGTTGGCTCATCAGACTCGGGTCGTGACATTTGGTATCAAAGCC